AAGATCCACCTGCTCCAGGCGGAGGCGATGGAGGCACTGCTGTACGGCTGCATGACATGGTCACCACTCAGCGGCCACTATCAGACGTTGCGGTCGATACACCACCAACTGCTCCTTCGAGTGGTCGGGTACAAGCGCAAGAAAGACAGCTACCGGCAGCTCCCTTACACCCAGACGCTGAAGAAGGTCCGATGCCAGAGCGTTGCGGGCACGATCCGACAACGACGCCTACTGTTCGCGGGAGCATTGGCAAGGCAACCGGACGGGCGACTCCCGAAGCGACTGATGCTCGGGGAATTGGCGGGGGGGGAGAAGCGACGTAGGGGGAGACAGGGACAGAAGCTCGACGACCTGAAGGCATTCGGGGCCGACCACGGATCTACCAAAACCGATCCATATTGTCTCGGAATCCCGGTTCTGAAAGACACGGCACCGAAGTTCAAGTGGACCGAAGCCGCGTAGATGGAGGGGGGCGTACCCTGGCATGCGGCGGTGCTGCACGGAGCTGAGAGGTTCATGACCTCCTGGCACGAGAAGGAAGAAGAGGCCAGGCGACAACGAGCGCTAAAACGAAACANCGACCTGAAGGCATTCGGGGCCGACCACGGATCTACCAAAACCGATCCATATTGTCTCGGAATCCCGGTTCTGAAAGACACGGCACCGAAGTTCAAGTGGACCGAAGCCGCGTAGATGGAGGGGGGCGTACCCTGGCATGCGGCGGTGCTGCACGGAGCTGAGAGGTTCATGACCTCCTGGCACGAGAAGGAAGAAGAGGCCAGGCGACAACGAGCGCTAAAACGAAACAACAAGCCAACAACCAATGGGGCGGGAGGGGGGCAGGAGACGGACGAGACGGCGAGGGAAGAAAGCAAACGAGAAGAGACGGACCGAGTGGCGCGATACGTGTCGGATTGAATTTCTTTTAGCCAATTCTCCCCCCCAACGCTGCACCATTGCACCGACCCCCCACTAGTGATGACGTACCAATGCAATGTATCGCTGCTTGTTGGCCATGTTTGCATGTTTGCTTANAAGCAAACGAGAAGAGACGGACCGAGTGGCGCGATACGTGTCGGATTGAATTTCTTTTAGCCAATTCTCCCCCCCAACGCTGCACCATTGCACCGACCCCCCACTAGTGATGACGTACCAATGCAATGTATCGCTGCTTGTTGGCCATGTTTGCATGTTTGCTTATTCGTTAGTGATCTCTCCACCGTGTGCCTTTTTCTGTCTCTTATTTCTTGTTATTTTCGGCCTGGTCCCTTTTAGTCCTCGCTCATTTTCATCTTGTTTTCTCTTTCCTCACTGTTCTCTTATACTATTTTTTCTCTTTTTCTCTTCTTTCGTCTCTCTTTTTTTGTGTGCCAGATGGCCTTGTCTCTGCTGGCGTTGTGAAGTACCAAGATTGAACCAAGGGGGTGTACCTCTTTCTCTCCGGCCCGTGATGGTGACTCCTCGTCTCAGTAGTGACCTCGCGCATCGCGCAGAGGGAGTGGAGGACTCCAGAATATCAGAATATCTGTTGTTGATTTCTATTGACTTACGGACCCCTCGGGGCCAATGTATTTGAGTGTACCTTGTTAGGGTAAGTTACCACGGGAATCGACCGCATCGAGTGTTGGATCAGTACGGACATACGAAGGTCCTAACCCTTAGAGATCGGACCGGTTTTTGATGTGAAGACAACAACAACATACCTTGCTATGGACCTTGATTTTCCCGCTGGCACTGACGCTTTTCATTAGTCACCGGTGACGTCGATGCTACTTCGTAATAAGTACGACATACGTATCTATGCATACCGATAGACTTGCCAACACCTTGCGTGAAGGGATACCGGGCGGCAACCCCATGGCATGCCCGCACACCAGCATATGCGAATGATCTATCAATCATCTATCAATGATCTATCAGGACGACTGAAGACCCCAAAAGGTTAAGGCATGACAGAATAGGTGATGTTTGACGCTGGCTCTTTTTTTTACTCAAAATCCAATACAAAGAGAGAAGAACATCCTTCCCGCCAGAGTTAGCTTTGGGGGTCTACTGCTACCATCAGTAGAGGACATGATGAAGAGGCGTTGGGCATGCTTGCACGTTCAGGTTTGCTACTGGAGCTGAAACATCGAAGGGCGCATCAGCCTCTAAAAATAGCCCGAATTCTGCGCCGGAATCAATCCAACGTTTGTCACAGTCGTGCTCACCGCCACGGACCATAAACCCCTGAACGGAGGTTGTCAGCTGCTGTGAATTGGGAGTTCAGGAGATTGGGGGTAGTGGAGACGAGCACGGCTGTGACAAATGTTGGATTCGCTTGGCAGTGCTGCACGGCTGAAAAACAAAAAAAGTAAGTAGGCAACCCCTATATGATCAGGCGGCTCACTGGGCAACAGACCTCCGCACCTAGCACCGGCTTGAGAGGGTGAACGAGAGGCTAAACCGTCCAGTTTTCATTAGAGATATGTAAACAAGATGCCAGGGCACATTAGGGTGTGTTTTATATGTCCAGTCACGCACGGTAGGGCGAAAAAGTTGGACTTCAGCTAGAGCGTACCACCATGCAGCACCTCCAAGATGAGGGAGGGAGCTTCACACACGAACCGACCTCTGCGCGAGGTAGTTGTTTTGCAGCCTAATTATGCTGCCGCCATGTATATATAATAGGTTATATTGCCACGTCATGCAAAAGGTTTGAGGCGATTATGTGTGGCAGGGGGTAAGCACGGTGTGTAAAAATTCAAATATCGGGAGGGTGGACGCCTTGGGTCCGAACTCACCCCAAGATCCACTGGATACACATTCTCACCCCAAGATACGATGGAAATACCCGATACAATCCTTCCACCTCAGTGTCAGGCTATCACGACAAGTTTCAGCCAATTTGGGCTTCAAGAGGGGAAGTACGACTGGCCAGTGGGAGATGACGAGCTAGTCCACGGGGTGATTCGGTGGATAGAGGCACGGGCGGAGGCTCACAAGACTCTCGCTGTGTGGAAGCAGTTCCTCCTCCCCGACTACCCTGCGTACATCGCGTCCCGAACTGCCCTGCGTACGGGGAACTTCAGGCTGAGGCTTGATGTCCTTCGCCGTATCGCCCTTATCTTTTACATCACCGGCAAAGACAAGTACCAGTTCCTCGTGGTAGACCACCTGACGGAGGTGTCCCGTTATTCGCGCAATGATATGAGGGTCGCATCCGAGCTTTTCTCCGTCTCACTCGGCCCTGATAAGTTTGCGCGAATCGGCTTGGACGAGAGTCAGGAGGTGGCCAATCGTCTCTATAAAAGACGTTGACGAAAAGGATCTTTTCGAGCACCAAAGAAAAGCTGGCACCGATTGCCCAGCTGCGCGAAGTCGCCATCTTCGACTTCGAATCGCATTTCATCGAGAAACCACGCACGGAAAGGGACCGCTGCAGAGGGTTGTCGGTGAAACGTGCTCCAGCAGTCAGGGCGGCGATCGACTGCTTGAGGGAGAGCACGGCATTCAAGGGCGATGATGGCAAAGACAAGGTCGTGGCATTGGACGGGAGAGTCCTTCCGCCGGTCAAGTGGCAAGAGATTCTCCACGACCACGATAAGGCTACTGCGGAATTTCGAGAGCGTGTCCTCTACTATGTCTTCAAGAAAAACAAACTAAAGGGCGCGACCAAGCAGAATTTTTTCTCCATTCCGGCTAGGAACAGCACCAACAAGGCCACGAAGACTCAAGGAAGGTCGTCTGCCCTGAAGGATTCCGTCGGCAATGCCTACGCGGGGGGAAACGAGTGGAAGGCATGGGCACTGAACTTGCTTGATGCCGTCAGAGAAGGAGGGGGTGTGGTGACACAAGGCCAGATGCTGGAAATGGTGGGGTCCATAGGCGCGGCCACGCCGTACAGCATGGCCAACGCGACGGGAGGTGAGGAAGAGAGCGTGCGCAACATAAACGAAGTAGTGGGTTAGTCCGACTAGACAGATTAAGCACTGAAGGACGTTGTCATCTCGAGCTTTTGCTCCCAGCCGAATTTGACCCACTCTCAACACCCGGGTATCTGAGTATGTATCAATGTGTTCGCCCCCCCCCCACCCCCATACACCCTGTTGGATATGTCTCATTTTAACGCGAAAGGAGCCAAGCACGCCAAGAAGGCGGCAGGTCCGTTGAAATGGGTCAGAGAGCACTGTTAGACCTCGAGATTAGAAGTTTTTCAGGGCGAAAAACTGAACTTGGTCGCTAGCCGAATACACTTTTCAAAATATTTTCCAATCAATCAAAACAGCAGGATGAGCGGACACGTCACAAAATTTTGCACAAGCCCGAGACTTCTTTGTCACCACATGCACGAGCTGGGTACAGCTCACTCTCTGTGCATTTCCGCCTGCCAGAAGTCCGGTCACGGCACCGCCGAATGCTACACATCCGCTCCTCTTCGTTTTCCAGCATCCGCGCTTGCTTCTTCGCTTCTTCCTCTGCCGATTTTTGCTTTGCGGCAAGCTTGCGCTTCACCGCAGCCGCCTGTTTCAGCTTGTTGACGTGAGCGACGCATATTCGCTTCAAGGCAGGGTAGTCCTTGTCCTCGAGAGCCTTCAAGCGGCGCGCATCAACTCCCGCTTGGGAAAACGTGATACCAGTTCGCGCCATAACGTTTTCGCCCTGTTCCTTGAAGCTTTTTCTCCTCCCCTTTGTCCATTTCTTTTTGCGTCCAGCGGTGCCCATGAGAGGCTTTGCGGCGTTTGCAATCTCTCTACCGCAACAGCTAGGATCGGGATGCGGTTTGCTGCGGTGTGTGCGCAAAACCCAAAGGAAGCGATCACCCAGTTCAGTTTTTCGAACTCAACGGGAAAAAAACGAGAAACCTGGCCAAAGGCCTTAAAAATCCAGTATAAAACGTATGTTCTCAGTCTTCCGGGGTGCGGACAAAAAATCCAAACCGGGTGATTCATAGAGTATGATCTGTAGACAGGTGTTGTTAAGGTTGAAGCGCTAACTCTCCACCTGGGGCCAGCACTTTTGATTGTTAAATCCCGGTCTCAATCCAAGATAATAATATTTCGGCCACCGAGTCAGGAAAAAAAAAAAATTGGGCTGGTTGTTATGCCGACATTTGCTGGTCGTTAGCGGTCTAATCTCGAGGTCTAACTGTGCCGACGGGTTTGACGACGACCCGTATTTGCTACGACCGCCAAAAACTAGTGCCGGCAATCAAAGGACACGAGCAGCTTGGGAGGACCGAGAAACTTGGAGAGTGCTCTCGGACCTTCGACCCGAAGTCAACGGATCTGGTTCCTTTGTTACAGTATGGGTCATGGCTTCGAGCCGATGGTAAGGCGGCGCGGGACGGAATCGCCGCTAACCTGGCCATGTGCGTGCTGGCTGATGATGTCTGGACCGGCGACACCAAGCCCAACGGAATCGTCGCATTCTATGGCGTCGGAGGTGAACCTGGTCTGAGTGGTGATAATCCAGCTGATGTAGATGCCGAGGATGTAGGCCTCGATGGGGTCGGTACCAGGGAGGCGCTTTCGGAAACAGTACCACTCCTACACTTTCGAATCGGAACCGACCCGATCCCTGACGTCGAGCGATACCGTGAACCAGACAACGGCGAGGCGGAGCTCTCCGTGAAACACTTCATCGCCCGGGCGAAGGCGTACTGGGGCGAAAAGTTCGACAAGTGGGTCGTTTTATCAGTAGACACGGACCTATGGATGATCATTTTGCTGGCGATGACCACTGGTTGGCTGACGCCTCGTGGCGAGGGGGCGGTTGACGTGACCGTCCAGAGGGTCGTGGGTGGCGAGAACAAGTTCCTGTGGATGAACAGAGTGTTCGCCAGAATCTGCTAACTCCACGACGGAAGCGAATCTGCGTGGCAGCCTTTGACCTTTAGAAGCTGGAGGCCCACGGACGCCGACAAGGTACGTCTGTTCGTCCTCACCTTCCTCGAGTCGGGCTGTGACTACCTCCCTTCAAATTCCGGGCTGACGTTCGACAAGACGTGGGTGCTTGTCCTGAAGAGCGTGCGCACGAAGGTTTGTTCCACAAGCCGTTGTTCTTCAAGGACCAGGACGGCTCGTGGGCCGTAGATATCGACGGATGCGCGAAACTTTTGGCCACATTGTTTTTCTACAAGGATGAAGCGGCGTTTGGCGCTCATTTAACTCCTCGCCAGCTGCTCGAAAGCGTCCACGGCGGCGTCTAGGACTGACTATGTGAGCTTGATCCGCCACGCCATCCTCCAACTCCCCAAGAAGAAGACGACAGCCACCTTTATTTTGCCTTACGCATGCAGGGAGAACGGGGTAACGCCAACTTCAAGTACTGGCAGAATGGCCCCAGGGAGACCGTGCCTTGTTTTTTCGGCCAGACTGGGTGTCCGTTGTTTATTGGCATGGTAGTTTGTTCTTCGTGTTTTATCGGCAAACTCCCTGAAACCTTTGGGGTGCTGTGTGCCTTCGGGCCTGTGTCGTTTGTACTGACTGTAAAAATGTAAGAAGCTTGTTGTATATCCTTCAGTTCAGGCTTGATGTTGATAGGTTTGGGCAACTCTTAGGGGCCCAGTCTCGTGTGCGGTGTCCGTGTGAAAGTATTTCCTCGCGTTTTCGACACAACCAATGCTCAGTGCATATTCTTTAACTTTGACAAGAAATATTTCAATGTGCACATAAATATATGCCGACCGTGCCTGCGTGCGACATCAGATAGCACAACGCTATTAGTGACCAAACTCACTGTTACTGTAGGTGCCGTGTTACTGTCGCTACTCCCTCCTTATTTCGTTCTTCGGGAATCAGGAAAGTTACGCTGCTGTGTGAGGGTCCCGCCTCAACAGGCACAAGCGTTGTGTGTCCGGTGCAACACCAGCTGACGCAATTTCTGTTCAAACTTAGCTGACGACATTCAAGAGTACTCCACCTATAGTGCGTATTGCAGCACAATTCAAAGTGCTGTACAACCACCACATCAGCAGCTAACATTATCAGTGCCCGGTGTTGCCGGTACCGTGGCAGGGCATAAGCACGATGCCTGTACAGTACTGTACGCGAACGCAAGTTTTCAACTTCATCCGTGCCAACCTCTCGACCCTCTGCAATAATCGAGTTGAATTCTCTTGCAATATGCCCTTTGATGCTCACTTCGTCCTGCTTCAATTTTCCGTCGTGATTGGTCTCGATGTGGGCGCGTTCTCGTGCTTGGTCTCTGCCGCGGGTGCACAGCACGCTGGTTACGCCGCGTATGTACCAGTGGCACACTTTTTTGGGTAGAGGGCTGGGAGTTGCGCCGCCAAGTTTGAAGCCTACAGCAGTGGACGGAAATTGGCGACTTGGTTCCCTAGATAGCTCCTGGAATAGTCTACTGCTGTGAGCCTTTAGCCTTGGGTGCATGTACGCCTGTCACGATGCTCTTCTGTATAAACCGATAGCTTTTCATCCTCCGCCATTTTGCAGCACTGCTGTTGGTTGGCGCAGATTTCGGGTTGTTTTCAGTTTCCAGAGGTTTCTGCGACCTTCCATGTATCAGCTCCAGTCAGCAGAAGCAAGCCTGAGAGTCCTTCTGATGAAAGCAAAATGCACCACCACCCTGGCAACACCGAACTTTATTTCGAAGGAGCCGTGCGGAGGTAGACACGTGAAATGTACTCCGTATGTTTGAAGCAGCCGCTACTGCCACCCTGTGCGAGAATCAACGATATGAGGTTTTCGCGATGCCTTCCGCCTGCTCTCGGGTGTCTGTTGTGCATTTTCTGGTGCTCTTCGTTGTTTTCAGAAATCAACATCATATTTCAATTGTTTGTCTACACATGGCTGCCTTTCTCAAAAGCTCACCTCTAAGTCGTTGCTGATCAAGTTGAGCGATACAAGGCTTCCCGCATTTACAGTCACCCCGTGCCATCTCCTTACGTCTGTTCCAGGTGTGAGCCAGCCTCTTTTATTTCGCCATCGATCACCCCCAAGGGCGTGGAACACATCGACCAGGGCTTGATTTGCCAGTCGCCGTATTTGCCCTGTGAGGAGCAACGCGAGGTGCCGACAATCGCGGGCACAGGGAATCAGGTTTGTGGTCAACGGATGGAGCACCTAGCTAGGTTCACATCAACAGATAAAACCATATCTTACTTAAGTCATTGTTGTCTGCTGCCCTGGCCATCATGTATACGAGCAGGTACGTGTCCCGGATGTGTAACGTGGATTGGAATGAGTGCTCAGCAGCTGCTACTGGAAGACTGGTCAAGCAATGAGAGGGGGCCAACGGAGCGGAATTTGACATCGAGTCGTACCCACCAGAAGCGGGAAAAAAGCGCCGACAACAGGTGCTGGTGAAAAGCAGAAAGGTCCCCGCGCGAGAGCGAGAGCGAGAGTAAGAGCGAGAAAGAGCGATCGAGAGAGAGAGAGAGACAGAGAGACAGAGAGAGAGACCGAGAGAGAGACCGAGAGAGAGAGAAAATAAAAACTCTCATTTGCCAGCATAACAAGCTCGGAAAAAAAACAGGTGAGGCGTGTCGGCGAGGGAGGCTTCGCTCTTGTTGCAGCAGTCATGGCGCGAGAGAGACACAGAGACACAGACCGAAGGCAGTGTAACCACGACGTACACTCCTGGACAGGGTTGCTCATGCGTCAGGTCGGGGTCGAAATTCGATGTCAACGTGTCCGTATCCACATATGAATACATATCTGGCGTGTAGTCTTGGGGTATTGTGGTCTATGTACACATGGATGTCCACGAAAGATGTCGCCTACCGCATGTGACATAAGATAACACGCCCCCTTGACCGATTTTCAAATCTCGATTCTTCAACAGCAGAAAGAGTCACAAGGCCGAAAACGGCGGCGTTAGAACCGTCTCGTCGAGAGCTTTTCGAAAATGTATCATTTCGTTTATGCATCTTCGTCGTCGTGGAGTGATCGAGCTTTGCAAGTCGGTCCAGGGCGTGTGTCATCTTGTGTCATCTACGGTATCTTGTACTTGTAAATAGTACAAAAAAAAAATAAACGACGAAAACACACAACACACCTTGAGTTGTGTGTAAGCAGGTCTATGTGTTGTTGCCTTGTACAGAGTTTTATGTGGTTAACGCTTAAGCACCCCACCAGCTGCGTCTCGCTCTACAAGACTCCAATCAGCACAGGACTTCAACGAATGTGTTGCTGCGTTCCAGGGCTATCATTGGACCCATCGTTAGGCCGAAACGGCACAGTTTTGGTGGTGCCACCGTTGGTGTGGAGCATACCGCCGCTACCTTTCTGGTGGGGTAGATAACGATATTGATCCCACCAGCTGGACCTCCCTCTACAAAGCTCCGATCGACACGCAAGCACCGGTAGGAGTGTGCGGTTGATGCACGCACAGCGCACGGAAGCGGGCAGCACCTGGGGCAGCGAACATGTCAAGAAATCCCGCCGCATAGCGCCAAACACCTGACGTGGGTAGTGCACTGTCTTCTATTTTCTTGCCGGCAGACTTCCTTCAGCTACATGAACCCACTGCTTTATGTAGCCCCACAAGACTCCAATCGACACCCGAACACCGATAGGAGTGCGGGGAACATGCTCGCACAGCACACTGTAGCTGGCAGCAGGTGAGGCATCCACCACATCAAGTATTCTTGCCACACAGCTTGACACACACCCGGTGGGAGCCGAATACTGCCTTCTCATTGGTGGGGTGCATAGCCTTGCTTAGCCCTCCAGCTGTAAGTCGTCATACAAGACTTCAGTCGACACAGGACATGCTCAACTGTGTCACTGCGCTGGAGGGCTATCGTATGACCCATCGTTGAGCCCAACGGGTTCCGTTCAGGTTCTACCACGGCAGGTGGGGGAAGCTACGGGTGTGCTCCACCATGGACCTCGCACCTCTGTACGAAGCCCCGATGGCCACACAAGAACCGTAGTAAAAGCGGCAAGCTTATGCACGCACAACACACAGAACACAGCACAGTAGCCAAGACACAACGGGGGGGTGAACCTGGTACAAAAATCCCGCCGCACAACCCCCAAAAATGTCGAGTGGAAAGCTGCTGATCTGCGGTCGCTGTGGTCTTTTCTATGGGACCGATCAACCAATACGCCAGCGTATCAGCGTCGAACCCGGGCCCATTCAACATGCCAGCGTATCTTTGCGCATATTGCCGGCAAGATCTATGGCGAACTATCAGCTTCAAGCTCTGGCAAAGGTTTCATTCTGACGCTGCTTCAGTCTCTCGGACCTAAATTCATTTTTGTCGCAAACCGACCGGCCCTCTTATTCCGATTCCCCCACCCTTGCCCGACCGTGTCTCAAAGCCAATCTCGACGGCTCGCAACATCTCGAGTATGCCTCGAGAGGGCATCCAAGATCATGGCCAGTCGCCAAGTTTGATCGACTTCAGGATGCAGTAACGTACGTCACAAGCACGCGGCTATGAACAGCCATGGGCGATGTTTCTCTCTTGTCTCGACTGGTTGGTTCGCCGTCTTCCTGTCCTCATCGCTCTGTTTGGAAGATTCGAACCTCATATTCAGCTTGTGCAAATATCAACAGACCGATGTCGACCAATGTTTGTACGGCAGTACAACGCATGTGTCGCGATATCTTGAGTATTCCTCTATGGGGCACATCGCAAGCCATGCCCCCTTGCCGAAGTTCACCCCCGTCCGAGCGCAGCAGCAGGTTTATCACTTGTGCGACCATGCATTTCCTGGTCCTTACCACTTCGTTCGCCATCTTGGTGTTACTCGTCTGATGATCTTTGGAACTATTTTGGATACAAAATTATCTCTCCTCTCCTCCAACAATTATAAATTATCGGAATGAAGAATACCAAGTTAGTCGGTGGGGCTTTCCGCCTCTCTCACTGAATGAATCTCGGGGAAATCAACCTCTTTTCTCCATGGTGTTTCGCAATTAACAAAATCTCAGTTTGTTGGCCGGTGGAGCTTTCCGCCCCCCTGGGTCCATATGTTTCGAAGAATGAAGCAGATTTCACGCTTCAGTGACCGACAGAAATCCAATACTATGGCCCTCTTATTCCGCTTCCTCCTCCTTTGCCCGACCGTGTCTCAAAGACTGATCTCGACCTATGGCGCACGTCTCGCGAAGTGTTGCTCCGGAAATGCGCGACCATGCGCGCTGTTACGGACCTGGTGAACGTTCGCCTTTCATTTCAGAGGTGGTCTATTGATGAAAAAATGTCGGTGCCGAGTGAGTTTCCGACGCGACCTACGATAAAACCAATACATCTGTTAGCACGACAACGCGTGTGGTGCGCCGATGCGCCGTCATGCTGCATACGTCAGAAGTGTGCGACCGTGTGTGTCCTGTGCGACCGTGTGCGACCATGCGGCGCGCTGTTTCTCTCCTCTTCACGCTTCACGAACCACCTTTCTCTATCGCTCATTAATTGTCATCTTATTAAACGGCATGTTTTCAAGAAGTCGAAGCTCACCCACGGATTCAATTGATTGAATTCAGTCGTTGTGAAAGTCTATGTCACCAAAACTGTGAAATATGAATGAATGTACATCAGAAGCTGAGTTTCTGTTTCTGTCAATAACTACCTTTGGGTACTTGGCCTGTGGCCACGGCTAGAAGGTAGAGTGACTTACTGACTGCGCAAGTGTATGTTATTTGACAACAACGAACGGTGACCGGCGAATTTCTCTACGTGCAGCACCGCACCCTTATTCTTCGACAGACGAGTCCGCGGTAAACTACCAAAGAGTTTGTAGTGTTGTACGGCGACCAACTTATTTTTCTACGGTCGTTCCCCGTGCAGCTTTTGTTCCTTTTCTTGTTCCCATCCGCCGTCGCGTCGTGATCTACCAATAGCACGGTACACACAGCCAACAGCTCAATATCCCGCAAAAGAAAAATCAGCTTGAGACAGGCAACGCCGACGATACTCGTCGCGTTGATTTATCACAAAGGAGTATACGAGACGAATATTATTAAAAACGGGGACAGCAGGAAGCCATGCCTTGGCTGCGGCTATTATGGGTCATGAACTGTTAGGAAAAAAATTGAAAAAGAGTCCTCGGATCTTGCTGATGGAAAATCGACCTACCAATGAAATTGCACGGAACCGTAGGAACCTCCCGAAAAGACCCTCTGACGCACACGCGCGAGGGCGCGGCTCGCCTGTGTGCTTTGCGCCCTGCTATGGGGCACAACACAACACCATTGCGCGGTCCCAGTCTAGAACAGCAGTATGACTTATGATACGCCCGAGCAGCCCCCGGGTGGTGAGATCGCACCGATGGCTGCTGCTGGTGCTGCTGCTGGTGCTGCCGCTGCTGCTGGAGAAAAAAACAGCAGCAGCGGCGGCAGCAGCAGTCAGGAGGAGCCCCCCATCCNCCCCCGGGTGGTGAGATTGCACCGACGGCTGCTGCTGGTGCTGCTGCTGCGTCACGTGCTGGAGAAAACAACAGAAGCAGCGGCGGCAGCAGCAGCCAGGAGGAGCTCCCCATCATCCACGCGCATCGTCTCGGTTGTGTGCTACACATCCTGCACATCTCCATCACCGCGGGCATGACCAGCGCGCTCTTCATGGGCCCGCTTGGTAAGGGTTCCTGGCATGAGTGGGAGCGCGACCATGTTTTCTCCCTTCTTGGTATGGTCTGGTACAACACAAGCCGCTCAGAACCGTCGAACGCAAGTTTTCAGCGGTGGAAAAGGGTAGTGGCGGCGCAGTTCCCTAACGCGAAGCCGTGGCTCATCAAGTTCATCAGGCCTGCTGAGACGCGTTGGATGGTGGTTATGGACGGGGCCAAGCTCCTCTGTGAACGCTGGGAACAGGTCGAGTGGCTTTTTTGCGAGTACGCTGCTAGAAACCTCAACAAGACGACTTTCAGAAACTACTGGGTCCAGTCGGCGTGCATGCTTCGAGATCCTTTGGTTCGTGTGCATGTCATGTTCACGGCAAGGCTCGGAGAGCTGTTGTTCGACTGGGCGTACAACTGGATTCATGGCAAGGGGGGGTTCTTTCTGAAGGGCGAAGGGGTCGGTCGGCGGCTGTTTCCTGCGATGCGTTTGGTGGAGGCGGCTGACTTCTCTTGCCTGCTGCTCCAAAAGTTGGAGACGATCCGCAAGGATCCCCAGACGTACGTCGCGGCGCTGCTAGACCGCGTTCGAACTACCCTGAGCGACCCGATGGTAAGTGGTGGCGGGACTTTGTATTGCAGTTTGGATTATAGCGGGGTTGTGGCTAGAAGGCAACCGCTGCACAGCAGAAATGCTGCTGTACGAACGGCCGTCATCACGATTTTGTTCTTCCATGCTCGCTCATTCCGCCATGNTGCCTGCTGCTCCAAAAGTTGGAGACGATCCGCAAGGATCCCCAGACGTACGTCGCGGCGCTGCTAGACCGCGTTCGAACTACCCTGAGCGACCCGATGGTAAGTGGTGGCGGGACTGGCTATTGCAGTGAGGATTTGNCCTGAGCGACCCGATGGTAAGTGGTGGCGGGACTTTGTATTGCAGTTTGGATTATAGCGGGGTTGTGGCTAGAAGGCAACCGCTGCACAGCAGAAATGCTGCTGTACGAACGGCCGTCATCACCATTTATTTTGTTCTTCCATGCTCGCTCCCATCCGCCATGTTTTTCAGCGTCGTGCTGCTACCTCTCTCTGCTTGTATCGGCTGGTGCTGGTGGCTACTTCTGCTGCTGCTGTTGCTGCTGCGATGGTCATGCTATGAGAGCACTTATGCCTTTGCCGCTTGAACTGGTCGCCGATCGCGTTGTCCTGATGATGCAGGCGAAAGTTTTCGTGTTGAACTTCAGCGAGGACAGTTTTTTATTGCCGAGTTCAAGAAGCGATGGATCAAGTCGATGCAGCGGCATCAGGAGCTACCTCTGAGCATGGCGCGGATTGGATGCCCCTCGTTTTACGCTCGGACAGGAATAATGGGGGGGGGGGCTGTAGAGCAGGCGGTGGGGCCGGAGTTTGCGCGTGCTTTCCCCCATGTAGCGTGGCCTGGTCTATACGAGGGAGAGCCACGCACGGAGAGGGAGAGACAGTACCGAACGCAGCTCGCGAAGGATTTGGGGGGAACCACCGAGGCACGAAGGAAAGATGAGTTGACGCTCGGACTGTTTTCCTGTATTGATGGGGATCTTTCTGTGAGGAGTGAACTCGAGCAGTATGCGAATTCTGGGTGGGGTGACAAGGAGATTGACGAGAGTGCACCGAAGGGTACGTCAGCACTGGCGCGTCTGTTCGATCTTCCCCTCCTATACCGGTTGGTATGTCACCGATTCTACTTCGTTCCCATTCACCAGCAGTTGATCGAGGCCTTCTTTTCGAAGTACGACTCATGCGCAAAGAAAACGGACATGGCTGAGATGGATGTTGTTCGTGTTGGGGGGTGGAAATCAGCGGAGTCTAGAGATATCGTGTGCGTCGATGCAATCGATGACCAAATTCGTGGCGCCGGCAAGAAGGTCCTAAAGGAGGCAACGGAAGCAAAGGCTATCTCCCACGCACGCAAACCGAACCGGCCGAGAACTTGAGCAGAAAACGAGTTTTGGAACCGGAAGCTGCAGAGGATTTGCTAGATGTTAGAGAAGGAAGGGAGTCGGGGTGACGCGTGGGTTTTGAGTGACGTGGATTTTGCAACGTTGAACAAAATCAAATCGCAAATCATGTTTTCACTCTGCCTCTCCGTGTGCACCACCATGTGTACAAGCGAAGGCTGCAGCTCAGGCGGCTGCACCGACAAGGTCGGGTACCGACCGTATTTTGTCTCTTACGCCATCATGCTTTTCAACACTCGTGTAGTCGTGCGTGCTCACAAGCAAGAGGACGCGTAAAAAATCGCGGTAATTTTCGTTTAGCTTCAACCAAACGTCAAACACCTCACGCCAAGTCGAAGGAAACCAACGAAAACAATCCCCCCCACTACCATGCGAGCTCCACAAAACTCAACGCATCCAACACATGACATAACGTTGCAGCTAGGCGCGAGAGCATCTTCACAGAGCTCACGTGTCAAACGACTGAAAGCTGCACACCACTTCTGAAACCATTCAGCTCTCACACCCGCTCTCTTCCGAGCTGCCCCCCCATCTCCCTCTTTGGCTTTCCATTTNCGAAGGAAACCAACGAAAACAATCCCCCCCACTACCATGCGAGCTCCACAAAACTCAACGCATCCAACACATGACATAACGTTGCAGCTAGGCGCGAGAGCATCTTCACAGAGCTCACGTGTCAAACGACTGAAAGCTGCACACCACTTCTGAAACCATTCAGCTCTCACACCCGCTCTCTTCCGAGCTGCCCCCCCATCTCCCTCTTTGGCTTTCCATTTCTGCGTCCTTTGGCGACCACTCGTCCTGGTGGCTGCTGGAGGAGGCGGCGCCTTTGCTTTCCCTTTCCGTTTCCCTTTCCCTTTCCCTTTCCCTTTCTCCCCCCCTTCGCCTTTTCCTTTGCGTTGCCGTTTGTCCGTTCCCTCGGGGGCGGCGGCGGCGGCGGCCGCTGGCTTTTTTGCGTATGTTTGCCCGCGGCCCCACCCCGACCGCCCGCCCCGCCCGCCCCGCCGCCGGTGCGTTTCGTGGCTGAACACCACGACCACTATTGCTGCTGGCTCCCCCTGTAGCTCTTGTGGGGGGTTTCTTGGTGGTGTCCTCACCCCGTAGCTTTCTCTGCAACAGCTTCACACAACCCTTCCCCTCGGAGGAAACAGATGCGGTGTTATCACTCAAGACGAAGAGCACCCGGTGTTTTGGGTAACCAAGCGTGTCGACGATCGTTTCGTAAAACAGCTGAGCCTGCGTTTCTGCCGTTTTGTCTTTCATGCTGCATACGTGCAACAGGCCAAACGACGGCGCGTCCGCCTCCACGTCGTGAAAAGCGACGAAGACAGGGAACTTGTTGTCCCCGTTGCGGAGCGACTCATCACCCGCAATCAACAAAACGGGCGCCCTGATAACTGCTTTGACCAACTCCTCGCCATCGAGCTGCGTAATGCCGAGACCAAGAACCTTTACCGTGTTGCGCGCACACGTGATGTTGAGATCTTGTTTCAATTGTACACCCGTGGCGTGGAACACGGTAGACTGAAGCAGCTGCGGAGTCATGTTGACAGACACCCCCCTTTCCACGAAGCTCTTGAACAGCCGTGCAGCAGTCTCACCAAATTTTCCTTCGGGTTTGAGCCTCTTTTCGATTGCGCGCATCAGCACCTTCTTCTCATCCTCTGCAGAGAGCAACTCCCCACCACCCTCTCCCTTCTCCCTAGGTACCGCTTGCTCCGGTTCCTCCTCCGGTTCCTCCTCCGGTTCGTTAGCCTTGAGCTTCTCAATATGCGCCTTGGCTCTCGTCGTCTGGAACACGAGGAGAGGAGAGGTAGCACCAGCAGCGGCGGCAGCGGAGTTTTTTCTTTTGAAAACACAACACATCAACTACTTGTTCGTGCAAGTTTGGTTGACTACACATGGCGCGCACAAATACATGGTGACATTGGCACAACCAACAGTTGCACAACAAGGAGCAGGGACATCAGAGCGACCTCAAGCAACCACACAGCTAGAGATACCCAACACACACACGCACGCACACACACATACTAGTAAAAAAAAAACATACACACACACAAGAAAAAAATATGTCACTGCAAAATAGACTATACAACACGCGCGCACCTTCTTTTTCTCGCTCGAAACTTAACGCTTGAGCCCCTCCACCAGCGGCCCGAAGTGCTCCACTTTCCGCTGCAGTCTTTCTGCCTTGACCCTCTCGAGCAAGAGTTCGTCTTCGAGACTGCGGATGCTGCCCTCCTCCGGCTCGGTTTGCGTCTCCACGGCGACGACTGGTATCCCGGCAGACTGTAAGAGGCTCAAGTTGGTTTTGCGGAGATTTTGCACCGAGTCTTTCAGAAGGGCCAACTCCTCCTCCATTGCGCGGGTTCTCTCTTCCGCCTGGCGCTGTCCCGCCACCGCCGACTCCTTCTCTCGCCCAATGGCTTGTTTCTCCTGCTCGGCCTGCTGTTTCTCCTGCTCGGCCTGCTGTCGCCGTGCCCGCTCCGACTTGAGCTCCTCGTCTTTCTCGCGCACAAACTCCTGAGCCACGCTGCAACCAGCTTTGCTCTCTTCCTCACATTTCCTACTTATGACCAGCTCCTCCTTCGGTCTTTCCAGCGTTTTCTGCGCGGTGGTGATGCTGCCGCGCTCGATAGCGCGGCGGGTGTTGTCTGCTGCTGACGCCTCAGCCACAGACATCCCCGTCCTCTCTCAAACTTCGTTTTGGTTTGATTCAGCTTTCGCGCAGCACGCTTACTGCTGCCGAACGGCGCGGATCTCGATGTTTTCTTTTTGGGAGGGTCTGCTGGTGTGGGCGCTGCAGCCCCACCGGAGGGGCCGTTTTCAGACATGTAGATCTCGTGGTCGGCTGATGCGATTCGGATGCGGTTTGTTGTGTGGTATAGCTGTAAACCGAAGGTAGAGGGCGGTAGGGTCGCTGTCACGAGAGGAGCAAGTGTCGCCTTGGGCGTGGAGCAAAGAGCCCCAAAAAACATGTTTTTTTGGTGTTGTTCGTCCGCCCTTTAACTTTTAGAGAAAACCTACCCTACAGTCACCTCTATTGGACCTGTGTCCAGGTGTTTGTAACGCATGAAAAAGCATGCTGCGGTCTGGACGCAGAGCTGCCTGCACAAACAAATTGACTTGATGTATAGTTTATTCTGTATTAACAGCGGGATTCTCACAACCTAAAAAAGAACCAAATCCGCGTGCCCCCCTCAATTTTTGCCGAATGGACCGGACGTTTCTTTGGCCCCAAATTCCGCCGCTTTGACACCCCTAACTGTATGTCGACACTTGTTTTGTGTGGCGAGACACAGCCGAACGCTCATGACCGCAACTGGAGGTTCTAACGGGTAGCCTGTTGGCGACGAGCTTCTTGCTTGCCCTCCGTCGCGCAAGATGCCGCAGAATTTGTAGTTCGTCTGCTTTTCTGCAACCCTACTTGCAGCGCGACATTGATTATTGATGGAGCGACGTACTATTTCTTGTAGTACACGTAGCGGCTTCACTAAATGAAGAATATATCACGTCGTCACACCTACTCTAGAACAGAGCACCGACTAACGGACAGCGTGTATCCAATGCGGAAGACAAGGACGATGAGTGCACGGAGCCTCACGACAATATACGGAAATGTATGCTTATGAATTTACCTCTTCGAAGTGCATGCGGATGCGATGCATCCCTCGCGCACAACAGCAGCGTATGCTGAAGATTGGTGTTACGCGGGTAGTGGGGAAGGCACGTTTTCTGCTTGACTTGTATCGGCTGTGCGGAGGAATTTGTTGACTTCTTCGCCCCCGCGTCTGCTGCTGCTGCGGTGTGTGTACTGTGTGCTGTGTACTGTGCGCTGTGTACTGTGTGGCGTACGCTGTGTATGCAGAACAACACGCTCTAACCATGGCGCTTGTGCTTCAATTGGAGTCTTGTACGGCGAGGTACAGCTGGTGGGGTGCTTCAAGCCTTATCCACCCCACCGGTGGGGATATGCGTTGTTCAACCCACCTGCCGTGCACTTATCCACCCTAACCCCAAACCTTTATCGTTCGGTTTGATCATGGGTTTCACGATAGCCCTGTAACGCAGCAATACATTCGTACATGTCTTTTGTCAATTGGAGCGTTGTGGGGGCAGATCCAGCAGTGGGTCCCTGGCGGTGTTGAAAGAAGCCTTGTGCAAGGAAGTGCCTGCAAGAAAATCGAACGCAGTGTTCGCTACCCACGTCAGGTGTTTGGCGCTATGCAGCGGGATTTCGTGACGTGTTAGCCTCCCCAGGTGCTGCCCGCTTCCGTGCGCTGTGCATGTATCAACCACACACTCCTACAGGTGCTTGCGTGTCGATCGGAGCTTTGTAGAGGGAGATCCAGCTGGTGGGATCAATATCGTTATCTACCTCATCAATGGGGTAGCGGCGGTATCTTTCCCACCGACGGTGGCACCACCAAAACTGTGCCGTTTCGGCCTATCGATGAGTCCAATGATAGCCCTGGGACGCAGCAACACAGTCCTGTGCTGATTGGAGTCTTGTAGAGCGAGATACAGCTGGTGGGGTGCTTAGGCGTTGACCACACCACCGGTGGGGTGTCTAGTCGTGCCGATAAAATTTTGATGTTGATAAAAACGGCGTGTCCAAATCCCCCCCCGGGGGGGGGTTCTGCAAAATACTCCGGGAGGGATTTGTGTGTCGAAATACCCCACCAGCTGTATCTCGCCCTACAAGGCGCCAATGGGCAAAGGACATGCACAACTGTGCTGCTGTGTGGTGGGGCTATCGTGGGACACATCGTACAGCCGAAACGGTTAAGGGTTGGTGCAGTCATGGTTGATGAGGAAATTCATCAGCTACCCAAACTGCCCCACTGGTAGGGTACATAGCCTTGAATACCCCACCAGCTGCATGTTGTCGTTCAAAGCTCCCAATCGAGCGACATACACCGGTATATGTAGTTGGTACATGCACGCACAGCACACAGCAGCGGATAGCAGGTGAGGCGGCGAGCAAGCACATCACACGACCTCGAACGCGTCAAGTCAAAGTGGAAACACTTCAATCTCACTGGTGGGGTATATTTATAGCCTTGCTTTCCCCACCAGTTGTGAATCGTGCTACAAGACTCCAATCGATGCAGGACATGCACCAGGAGTATTATGGGCCCTGTCGTGAAGCCGAATCAGCAAAGGTCTGGTGTTGCCACAGCTGGTGGGCGGACGTTCGCAGCTACTCACTGGTGGGCTACATGGCCTTGCCTACCCCACCAGCTCAATCTCGCCCTACAGGATTCCGATCGACACAGGACATCAGAACCGTGTTGGTGTGTGGCAGGGTACCCATGATCAAGTCCAAGGATCTCCAAGCCCAAGGAGCTCCGTTTCGATACTGCCACCGCCGGTGGGGACACACTGTGCATGTGCCCACCGGTGGGGTGGATATAGCTTGAATACCCCACCCAGCTCACAACGCGGGCAGCAGCTGAGGAAGAGGAACAGGACTGGGGGGAGAGATCATTGAACAACCCCGGAAGCACATGAAGTGGAAACTCGAAAATGGTCTTTTCCTCTCTGCCAGACTGAAGTAACCAACACTCGGGCGCTTCGACGAAACGATGTGTCTGTCCAAAGTCGGAAATACCGGCTGGAACGGTGGCTATTTCTCACGATCTAATTTCGACAAATGTTCAGTCTGTGGTACGTGTCGATGTGTAGATTGTTTGTGTCCTCAACGCATGTTCGCGTTACGCGCGTAGGAAAAAAAGGGGACGATCCCAACGTTTTACATATGGCACGACTCTATTGTTCTCATCACACTGTCTCGAGAGATTGTGCAAGCAGACGAATGGCATGTATCTTGTGCATAATGTGTAGCTGGGATTTCGACTCCTTCGTCTCGGTGTCGGGTTGGCAATCGAATTGATCTGTTGGAAACTATGTGTAAGCCTTTAGCAATGGCGGTCTGGGAATGAATGAAGTCAATGGCCCGTGTTGAAACCACGGAGTCTTTCGTTTCTTGTAACCTCATAACTGAATGGACATGCACGGAGACAGTATTCCCAAGAAATGGACCCCTCACCACGTATTGGATATGCAGCTCGTATTATTTTTCTCGTCGGTTAGCATAGCATGAGGAGCATGTTCCAAATTCGTTCACAATGGTATCACAAGTACTGATGTGGTTAGTGTGAATTGCCCTTAGGCACGTCCATTCATCCGCAGCACTCGTGTGAATGTGGCGCTATATCTACGCTGTGCTGGTTGGTGCTCTGTTTCGGGCGATGTGCTCGTTGTGCTTGATACACTCACATGTATAGCACACTCAACATTCGATGTGTCTTGCCGATGTGCGTGTCCGCGTCCGTAGTGTTAAATTCTACCCGCGCACGTTGGAAATACTACATATTTTTGTGATATTGACCAGCATCAAAATAGCAAATATCTTTCCTTGCGCAAACACGTCAACGGCCGTATTTTTGGAAAAGTACCCCTAAACGGCACACGTTACTCTGAAATTTTCCCGAAACGGCACTTTTTTTCCCGAAACGCCATCGCATGCAATTTGGAGTGGTTGTGGCCTCAGTCGGTTTTCCGCGCTCCCCCCCCCCCCCCCCCCCCCCCCCCCCCCCCCCCCCCCCCCCCCCCCCCCCCCCCCCCCCCCCCCCCNCCCCCCCCCCCCCCCTCAGCACTCTGTCCGCAACAGCGGAAAAGTAACCCTTATTCTAGAATAGACAGAAAAATATACACGACCCACCACACCCCGCCCTACCCGCTCCCCGCCATGATCTAGTCTTTTCATCCAATCTAAATGGGGCAAATTTCAAAAACATATCTACCATTCGCTGCGGCTGGTGCTGCTGCGCTCAACTCAGGTGACCGTGAGTTTTGCCGCCTTGAACTTCTGTCTGGAGGTAGCCGTCTCGCGCCGAACCGGCCACCATCTATTGTTGTTTGGAAGCTACCGCGCTTCTTTTGTCCACCGAGAACCGCCCAACCTAGCTTTTCACCGTAGACAACTGATTTTCAGCCCACAACCCAGACGGAGGTGATGGCGCCAGTTTCGAAGAATTAACATGAGTAAGATTCAATGTAAGGATATGATTAGGCTTATCCGGCTAGTTGTAGTTGGTAGCGAGGAACCAGCTCGAAAGGTTTATTCCTTATCTTTGGACTCTTTTCTATGGATAGAGATGGATTCGCTGTGACATACTGAGACAAAAAAAAGATCGTGCGGGGCATCTTGCTTTCTGTCGTTTTTCATTGGTTTCATAATTGGTTCACCAGGCTTTCTCTTCGCGGAACGCGTCCACGGGGTATAGAGTCAATTTTTTCGATTTTGATCGTCAACCGCACGCCCCACAAAGGCGTGCCGAGCTCCGTGCATGAGCGCTAATGTGCCGAAGAGCCTCCTGCGTGCCCATGAGAAGGAAACGCGAGAAAAGACTCACGGCCGCGAGAGAAACAAACCCCGAAGCGCAAAAAAATGACCAAATTTTACATGTACATACAAGGCTCCCCGGTGGTTACGCAAGTAGTGAAGGGAGGTGAGTAGTCATGGGCTAGTCTGTATCTTGATGTCTGGTAGTGCTCGCTCCCGTACAAAACATCGCATGTACATGAGACGGAGAAGGTGGAAAGGGTTGGCCGACGAGGGTAATTCTTAGGTTACGGTTGTACTCTTGGGCAGCTCCAATCTCGACATGGGTAGCGTAGGCAGTTGGAACAGACATGAGATGGAGGTATTCCGGGACACCTTGGTAGGGTTGTTCAAGTTGACCAGC